ACAGAAGAGAACAATCACTGCAGCATCTTGCTGGTGAAACAGGAAAGCTCTGGCTAGGGCAGGACCACTACTTAAGCTAACTACTTCCTGTCAGAGAGATTAGAGCGCAGAAGGATCACACAGGCTGCCAGGCCATTTCGCACTTCATCATGCCAGACCTCTAGGATGGCTCCACATTCCCAATCAATGACTAATTACACATGGTGACGTATCTCAACTGTGTATCACAGGAGGATGGTATGAGTAGAGGGAAAGCGGTCATAGCCCCCTATCAAGGAAATGTACTACTCTCCTGATGTGTGATATTGAAGGTAAAGATGTGAGAGGGCTGTTATTGATATGGTATCTAAGCTCTTCATCTCGCAGGTCCGATGACCCTCCTTTCCCCTCAGCCCAAGAGAATCATATCCTTCAAAAAAAAAAAAAAAATGCCATAAACACTGAGAGGGCAGGAAGGCGGGAATGAAAGGAAGGCAGAAGGGAGAAGGCGTACAAAAAAAGCCCAGAGGAAGTTCAGCATCCTGTGTTAAATCATGTCTGTTTCCTAATGAAATCTGCACTGCATTGTCAAAATGAAGCCATCTCCCCCTGGTCACCAAAAACCTCCAGCAAACAGCATCTTGGCATCTCAAAAAGGACACAGAATTCAAATAGGTGGCAAAGTGGAGCACTAGCTTGAAAACCAAAAAACAAATTTGCTCACAGGAAACACTGGAGTGACTTCTAAGGTAAATTCTGATTGAACATTATAACAATAACTGGTGTTTGCTTGCTGATGTTTTGACTCTAAAAACAGGGTAGAAATGTAAAACTAATGGTTAAGGTTAACATGACTGGCTGTAACAAAATTGAAATGAATGTGGGATGATGACATTCACAAAATCACTTGCGAAGTGAATATGTAGGTCATCGCAAATACAAAACACACATTTTGTGTCTGACATGCAGGGAAAGTTCTCTGCGGCTGGCTGGTGGTACTGCAGCCAAAAACTGCAGGCCCCTAACTGGAAACAACCACATGAACGATCAAGAGTCACACTAGACCAATTAGTTCAGTCAAGTTCTATTTATAGAACAATTAACAGTCAGCGTACAGGAATCTGGTTCAGAAACCATGAGAAAGTGAACAATATGCACTTTAATCTTTCCTTGTCTCCCTACGTGGCTGGGGGAGAGGATGGTGTCAAATACTCAGACATGGCTGCCAATTCTTCAAAGAAGTGAGACAAAAAAAATCATAAAAATAGTTTCCACAAATATATTTAGATGAGGAAGGAGTAAGACAGGAGAAAGAGTCAGAGGGAGAAAGGAAAAGAGGGAGGGCTGACAGAGAGAGAAGGGGGGGTGGATGAAGCAGGCAGTAGAGAAGCCAGCAATGACGGCAGTGACCAGAGAACATCATGCCAAACCCTGGAAGTCATTTCCTGCTTCATCGAAGACTTTTATGGAATTCTAGCAGCGTGGCTAACGTCACCATGAAGAGAGGGACAGAAGGAAGAGAGAAAGCTCCGGCCCTCCTCCTCGCTCCACACACCTCCCTCCCCCCTCTCCGTTTCCCTCCCATTTTCTCCTCAATCCAGTCCCTCTACCCTCAGCTGTCTTCATGAAGCTAAGCAGAGCCAATACAACCAGGCTGCCTCCAGGAGTGTAAGTGCAACATCATTCCCACCCAGAATTTACGTTAAATAAGATGCTATTCATTCCAAGACCTGCATCTTATGCAGTTTTCACAGCTAGCTAAAATTCATTATTGTCATCCATATGCTTAACAGTCTTAGGCCTTGACATATAACCAAGACACTGAAAAGCTGCCTTTACTACCTTTAGCACGTGCAAAATAGCAGTGTATTTGTGGGAAACACAGACAGTCCAAGCACTTACTGTAAGCCATAGTCCTAAAAGCTATGTAACTTGGGAACAATCTCTCTAAATCCAATAAAACTCACACCAGCTAATGTTGTTTGTGAAATATTTGTTTTCCCTTCTAAATGGAACGATGTTTGCTTTTAGAGAGGAGGGCACCACTTTTGGAAAACATCAACAAAGTCAGAGAAAGCAGCAATGCTGGAAAACCGACAGAAGGATGAAAGGATTATAGGAGTGGGGGACCAGAGGGTGCTCAATCAGCTGGCTTTAAATACTAGCCTCCTGGAGAGTTGCGGGGGAAATGGAAGCATCGTTGGCTGCTGTGATCAATAGCTGAGTGGCTTCCTGGCATTTGTCTATTTAATCCATTATGGAGGGCCATCTGAGCCTACGATGTGGACGGGAGACCTGCAGCTCACAGGAAGAGCTGAATGATGGAAGCAGGATACATGTGGACGAGACACACCTACCGACCCGCACAGGCATGCTCAAGTGTGGAAACACATGCACAAATACTACTAATGAGAACACTGGTCATCGTGCAGGGGACAGCTGACGTCAACACATTTCCACACAAACGTATATTGCTTCTGAAAGCTACTACATGCAGATACAAAGTCCCACGGAAAAAGAACACCATACAACAAATGTTCATGATAGGAAATAAAAAATGGCGCCATCAGCCTTGTAGAAAGCAATTACTGAAGACAAGAGGTCCTTCACTTTGGTGAGTAAGAGACGGAAGGAGAGGGGAAAGGACGGAGAGATTTGCCATTGCACAAGGATGTCCTCCCAATATGAGACTGACGCAGTGCCTGCCAAAACTCTGGTATCTACGTGTCCTTTCTCACATCACCATGTATATGTATGCGAGTTTGTACATGTACAGTATCTATGTATAACCACCACATTCAAGCAATCAGCAAATCCAGCAGTAGATATATGACAGCACTTAAGAGGTGTTCAGTGAGGAGTGTGTCTGTCACCAGTGCAGTGAGAGCTGGGAGGGACAGAAGCAGGTTACTGACAAAAGAAAGACCTGAGGATTGTTCCCATAGAAGGATGTCACATGACAACAATTTACTTTGTATTTAATTTTATCTCATAATGGAATTTGCATAGATTGTTTTATCTCAACACAAAAACTGTACACTAACGCATTAATACATAGTGTAGTGTTTTTGTTTTAAGATTTCCATTGACAAATCATGTTTAAGATGTTATTTATATCAGACTATCAAAAACATATGTACACTGCCTGTTTCTAGCACAAAATATCGTGTCTCACACTAATACAGTACAGTCTCCTGCAGTGTGAGGCCATGTGGAAAACCCATGTTGTGGGTGGGTTAATGATTACAATGCAAAAACAACCTGTTGACTCAAGGTAGGAGGGAGATGGCAGTCAAATGAAATGTCCCCATACTCACTTTGTGAAACCATTCAAGTGTTACAGACACACTTTCAAACATCCGCAGTTTAATGTCACTGCAAGAGTTCTGCTTCTGAGTATGGGGGTCTATTACCTTTGTACGCTAAATCATATGCAGTACTCTGGCACAAAAACAGCCAACAACAAAAACTGGTCAACAAATCAAAATTATTGCCAAGCGGAGGATGTGAGGAATTCAAGCCCCCTGAATAATGATAAGTTGAAAAAAAGTAATCAGCAAAATATCTGCATCCTTAAGAAAAGGAAAACTAGAAATTAGGAATGGTGAAAACAAAAGAAACACAATAAAGAGGGTCGTATATCCCAAGTATGACATGATATAACTTGAATACAGTTAATGCTATTTCAATTTCAATATTTTATTTTACAATAAAAAGCCTTTAAAAAGTTAGTACACCATTATCCCTTATTAGTCCGACTGTTATGACAGGCCAACCAAAGCAACAAAGACTTTATCCACACTACACCACAGTGAAGGTGTCATGTTAAGTAAAGTCATACCCTTCAACCAGACCTTAACAAAAAGTGTGAACACAACTCAAACAATGGATAAGGCCAGGTCCTGAGTGGAGTTGGGGCGGAAGGACCAATGAATTCATGTCGTCCCACTCGCGGCTGCAACACTGCACTCACGCAGCATAGATGCTGCTCAGCACAGACGACCACAGAGAACAAAGACCTCAATTATGTGGAGCTCTCACAGGAGAGCTAAAAACGGGACCATGGGCAGGGAATAAAACCTTGGAGCGCTGCAGGAATGCTGAGCATTCAAGCACCATTGACACACAACACACTGTCACTCCCAAATCGCACTGCCACCACTGCTGACCTTTCTCCAGCCTGCATGAAACAGGACAGTGTTCAAGTGACTGGAACAGAGGACTCTTATGCTTACTTGCCCCAAACTTGTCAAGTGCATAACTGCAGTTACAGAACGGTGCATGATACAGAGGGGGGAGGGCACCATCTATGGTTTCTTTATACCTGGGGTAACTGACCCATATACACTGCTAACAAACTAACTAGCTAGCTAACAAAGAGGAACATTTACCTCTGTTTCAGCTGGTTCCAAGCAACAAATATCAAAGACAACAATATTCAATGTTCATACTCATTAATTCAGTTTAAAAAGTAGCAAACAAACAGCTTCCTTTTCTTCTTCAAAGACAATAACATAGATTGTCCTTAAACGGATCCCCAATCTCTGATTTCATACATTTTCTCCCAGTGTCTTTGGCAAATTGCATACTTTTGAGTTCCCAGCCATGAAAAACTGGAAAATGTCTGTTCTTAAAATTGGCAAGTATTCAGAAACAGTTTGTACTTTTGCTGTTTGCTTCGTGGAATCTAACTTCTAAAAATGGTAACTCTTAAAAAAAAAAAGAAAAAAAAAAAGGAGGTATTTATTGCCCAAGGTATATGAACAGATAACACAAGTCAGCCATTAACACACACAGAAATTCTGCTATGGCAGAAATGGTGCTGGCTTGGAGGTCAAAGGAAAGAGCTATAATTACTGCCAACCAGCACCATTTCTACTGTATTACTAATGCAATGCATATTAAATCTGTAGACTCATGGTCATCCATATTCAAGCCTGTTTTCTACAAACAAGCAGATTTGAAAAGCCGCCAAAAACTGCTCTGGCTCCTATGTGACAGCAGCATGCATGCATGCATACCTAGTTTCTCCACAAGTTTGAGCATGACTCCGCCGATGTGGATTTCCCCAGTGACCCTCAGCGACACATCCCTGTGGAGGTCAGTGACATGCATCTTCAGTTCCCATGTCCCGTCGGCGTAGCAGCCATCGGGCATCCGGATCCCGTCCAGCGCCATCCTGCCAACAGACCCACAGTCAGGAGGGAGAAGGTCCAGTTAAACTTCTGTCACACTTGGGTGAAAAGAAACCTTTTGACCCTCTGGAAAGGCATAAATGTGGTACAAAGCCCATGTATGCCAGGCCTTCTTTGCATACATGGCATGTATCCCTCTACTCCAGTACATTTGTGGGAAATTGTATGTTTACACTCTAAAGCCTTAACAGTATATGACAGACTGATGGGTTACATTGCTGATTAAGAGTACATTAAAAAATGAGATTACTTCATAAAGTGAGGCACTGAGTAAACAAACAAATGGTATGAAGAGGACTGGGCACCACCCACGTGTGCTATGCCATTAAAATAGTGCTCATACATAAAAGCATCAATATTTTCAAACACTATGAGAAGGTCTATGGCTGAAAAATATTACAACAGAAATAGATTTGTCTTCCATCAGAGATTTTCCATACCATTATGCCATACTAATTGAAGCCTATCCTTTTCGAAAAAGGGGCACTACAGTGAGTTCACTAATAATGGTTGATACTACTCAACCTGAGAAAACATTTTGTAATATCTTCTGTTGCTCTGGAGGAGCTTTCCAAAGTCTGACAAAGTAACCCTGATGGTGTTAGTGATGTCATCTCGGCTTGGACTACAGATTTATATGAGAAAGCCTAACGTCATAGGCATGAAGCAGGCACAAAATGTTTCAGAATTTTTTTTTTTTTTTTTAAACCTTTCTCTTCCAAGTCACTTAACTTAATGGAAGTATAACATTAAATCTCTGGAGTGGCCTTTTAATATTACCAAGTGTAGTTGGTCACTGTAAGAGTGCAAGTCATTGGAGCCAATATTGGAAATTACTATGAAATCAATGTAATTAAGTTTCGTGATGTTTCAGGCATTCAGTTCACTGCAAACAGACATTTCCATCTGGTAATTGTATCCATAAACCATTTTCAATTGATCTTCCATTGATAAATTGTTATATACTAATATTATCTTATACAATTTGAGTGTTTCATTGATATCGTCCATTCCTGACAAGGTTCATCCTTCATTCAGAGAATTTTTCCTTCTAATACTTATACTCTGCTGCTGATTCAGTGCCATTTTTAATACAGAACCTATGCTTATCACATCATTTTCATTGTGTGAAGGTAGAAAAGTAAATGGTATCCTACTTCTTCCAGCACTGGCACACTGTTATGACAATACTAGAGAGGGAACAGCTAAGGTAACTTAACTCAATGATGACCCTCAAGGATGATTTAGGAAGGGATAAAGAAGAACAAAATCTGAAAATATATACAAGCTGTTTTCCCATCACTGTGCCTCTCTCCTTGTCGTTTCAGGAAATAAGACGGACTCTGTCGTGTGAAGTCGATGGTAAAAAAAAAAAAGAAAAAAGTTATACCACAGTCTATCTGTCATTATTTGATCTTAGGGCGTCCAGTAGACAGTAGCCTAACGATCAAAACAGCCGTCTAATCAATAAACACGACAGAACAAAGGCTATAGGCCCGCGGCTACAAGTTCAACAAGGACCTTTAGCACTTATTACCTCCGCAAATGTGGCGGTTCACCTGTTAAAAGTAACGGTAAAGGCACTCTTACAAATAGACTGAGGGGTTAATTATGTAAGCAGAGTCCGTACAACAACTCCCCGGCTGCATGCACATACTCAGTCGGTCATTACCTTCACTAAAAAGTGTCTAAAAGCAAACAAGCCGCTAAAAATTTGCGAAAAGTTTTTAACGGAAGCGTATGTTAAGTGTAGCAGAAGCGATACGACACACAATAAAACCGTTTTCATATTTCATAGCGGCGACCGAGCAGGGCTTTGAGGACGAACATTTAAATCTGTGTACTCACCTTCACAAAGACGAAAAAACACTAAAACAGTCGACTACGCGGTACAGAACAAGTCCCCCCTCTTTAAATCATGTATAAAGTCTTTTAAGGTGATAAAAACAGAGAGAAATCCCCGAAGAACTCGCTGAAGAAGTGAAGTATCCCAAACAGTTTTCCCGCAGGCTTCGGCTTAATGGAGTCCAGCCGTCCCTCTTTCTCCCTCCCTCTTTTCCAGCAGCAGATAACGTCACTTCTCCAGTCCTACTTTTCCTTTCATACTGGGAGCCTCACTGGTCGCCCACTAGTCCCCCCTGTCACCTCACTCACACACACACACACACACACACACACACATATCACACACACACACACACACACACACACACACACACACACACACAGTGAATTGAAGGTTAATTCTTCCTTTTGACCCGTTTTATGCATCAGAGGGACATTTGTAGAGATATTATTTTCTGTTTCTACTTATTTCTACTTTCTATTTCTATTTTAATTACTTCACATATAGTTTAAACAACAAAATCACATAATTTTATCATTTGATCTAATATTACAACTCATTCTGGAGCATAACTAGCGAGAACAGATGCAGTAATAAGTCATACAAAGTACAATATTTACCTCTGACATGATTTTAAAAACTAATTGGCTAATTTTCCATTGCTGTCATTTACTAAGGAGAAGAAAAACAACAATGTAGGTATTAATGTGATGCTGGTCTTGGTAAAATAACAATGGAAATAATAATTACTCTCAGCTACATGTAAATATGAACAGATTAAGGCAGGCGTGCATTTGTATATGTGTTTTATCACAGATTCCACACTAAAGAACTCAACAGTTTGTGACAGGGATAATGGACATGACCTTAAAATCTCAAGCTGCCTTTTATGGCAATAAAACCACTGAGCCTTGAAGCAGCATTCAAGGACCTTTGGGTCTTTAGTCTCAAGTGTAACAGCACAAAATAACAAAAAAATTTGTTTTTGTCACTTTTACACGTTTTAATAACTGAAAAAAATAGTTTCTCCAAAATCCCCCTGGTGGAAAACTGGGGCTTACTTTTATTCCTGACACATCACATATATTAAAGCTGAATTTTACTGCAATGTTGTTGCTGGCCCAGGTGGAGGTGCAGTATGTCAAACTACTTCAATCCTCTTTGGGGTTAATTTAAAATGAAGAAATCAATTATATTTCATCTTTTTATCTAATATAAAATTACACTGCGGAGCACAACAAGTACGTACAGCTGCAGAAAAAGTACAACACTTAATGCTGTCATACAATATAATGAAATAAGAATATAACTTCTCACAAGATAGAAATAATAAAGTGTCTGTGCTTTCAGCTTTTATGCAAGTACAGTAAATTAATAAAAATATTTTGATGCTTCACTTTGGTGGAAACTTAACTTAATATGAAATCCACATTTTAATTTTCTCCTGCATGTACAAACTATATTTAACTCACACATGGTCAGTCATTATAATGTATCAGAAACTCATAAAATTACAGAAACTCAATAATAGTTTACTTTGATTTACTAATAGACTTTAGACATCCCAGGATAGCCTTCTAAGAAAATAATCTATGCTGACAAATCATCAGTGTCTGTGAGGACCACATGCATGGGGATCACACGAAACTGAAGATGAGATTGTCTGCAAGCTGTTTCTCACATCATCACTGCTTTAGATGAAATATAGCATTTCATGTACATGCATTGCATTCAGTCAAATGAACACACAGATGACAAGTTTTCTTTCCAAAGCAGCAGCAGCACAATGCACACTCCAGCACACACACACTCTCCAAGTGGTCTGCAGTAAAGACACATGAATCATCAGTGTTTCTGGCTCGGTCCCCCGGTGAACTCGCTCAGCTCCAGTCCTCCAGCTCAGGAATCTGGGCTTTCAGACTACGGTCGGCATCAAAGCGATTTATAACCTCTCTCCCCACAGCTCTGACCCCCTCGTCAGTGTCTGGCAGCAGACCCATTGCCTTTTATAGGCTGTGTTTTAATTGCAGAGTAAACATTTGAGTCAGTCAGATGCGGAGCAGTACAGTCAGATGCAGAGCTGGCTTTGGGCTGCTGCTGATGTGGATGAGGAGGGAGGAGGTGAAGGGGGAGGGAGGGGAGGCAGATAGGTGGAGGGTGTGTGTGTGTGTGTGGGTTTAAGAGGTCTACACTGTCTGCATGAGTCACCTTTGGAAAAAAAAAAATCAGTTTCTCAGCATTTGGCTCATAGTTTGTGCGATATTGGAACCAACTTTTTATGCGTCTTATTCCAATTTAACATCATATGTTACCAACCTAAAAACATAATTGATCAAGCCACATAATTACAAATTAGAGCATTTACAACTGTCAAAATAGCTCAATTAGTTGAGGTCAATAAATGGAAACAGGATAAGAGAGAGGGCACTGGGCAACAGATGGTCAATAGGGCTCTTTGTTCCAGTTTTACCAATAGATGACTGACCTCTTCTGGCCAAACACTGAACAGCAGGGCCTAATCCATTATTTATGAGAATCAGCCCTCTGGTAACTGGTCCCATCTGTGAGCCTTGCCTTTGCAGATGTTGCTAAACTGCATTAAAAACCCTAGTAACTCATATGGAAGCCATGACTGCTTGTGGATTACAATGAGGCCTATTTATGATCTGTAAGTCAGCTTTGTTATTCACATGAGGGGGTGCACTGGAAAGAATCTGAGTGTTCAAGAGTTTCAGATGAACAAATAGTTCAATTGTCCTCCAAAATCAGTCTGGAAATGAGCAGTGGGACCATCTTCCTCTGATGATTTTCAACCTCCTCCTACGTGACAATATTCTGTATTTTTCCCCAACTATTATTATGAGAGTAAGAAGAAGTCACTGTATCCAAAAAAGAAATGCTTTAATAAAAGGAAATAAATACAGTGCTTTGGATGGCAGTTAGAATCCATTACAGGCATGGGTTATTGCACAGCTCTAGGGACAGACATAAAAAAAAAAAACACTTTGCCAGACATCCATTCAAAGTTAGAGCAACAGTGGTATCTGACACAAATTTAACACATTTCATCCAAAACACGCACAATAAGTTTCAATGCGCATTTCTGTCTGGTTACATATGGCTGTAGGCCCTTCTTTATCAACTTCTGAACATTTTAAAGACTGACAACATGCCTGTGATAGCACTTGATCCTTTGACTTAATGATGGCTTCAAACTGGAGTGTTGAATTTACAAAAAAAGTTACAGTAGACATTTCCCTGATGTTTGTGGTGCCTTTAACAAAAATAAATAAATATACTGTCATCTTTCAAAATGCTGTGCATTGAATGCTCATGTAGTCAAAACTACAATGACAAAACTGACAAAATTCGCTTTAATTGTCTCCAGTTTAGTTGCTTTTTGTTAGCATGCAAAGTGAACACAGTTAAAAATTTGTGCATGAATCAAGAATTGCTCTCATGTAAAATGTGCAAAGTTCACATACATTTTGGAAACTTGCAGCCAAATCACAAACACTGGCAGGAACATTGTTGTTATTGTTACGAGGGTCCTTCCACACTCCTACAATACGTATCTGCTGTGTCTGAATCCACAGTGTTATTTAAAGATGCAGAGGCAACAATGGAACAGTTTTTGTATTTTGCATTGCATTTCAAAGGTTTCCAAGGTAAATAGCATTCCTGCTGTGCCAGTAACATGTTAAAGTTGCTTCACTCTTGCTGCAATGTAACACATGCAAAAAAAAAAAAGAAGAAATACATAAAATCAACGATGGGCTGGATTCTACATCATTTCTGTGCAATTTATAGCTGATGAATGTGCAAGATCCACCAGGTCAAATGTAGAAACACTTTCGTATCACTCTCACTTGTCCCTGTTTCCGCACTACTTCCCGATTACCTATCTGGTCATCTGAAAGGCAGCCTGGTTTCAGTCAGTAGGCCTTTGCACATATAACACAGACATTTAATACTAATAAATTGATTCCAAACAGCCCTTGATTGTGTGGAACAGAAAAGCAGCATCTTGCACCATAGCATACTAAAATAAGCTCTTTGATAACTATTACAACAAGCAAATTTGACACTGACAGTAATCAAATCTGTCACATGTATCTCCATAAGCATTAATCTGAGGGTGGTTCCATTTCTTCATCCATTGCCATTGCCTTATAAATGATTTCACGAGACATCCGTAAACAATCATAAGTGGTTTTCTACTCAGTAAAGACCACAAAGCAGTTTCTTGGATGTGTGTTGGCACTCCCTGCAAGGTCTTCTTGTTCCAACATCCATTAAGTATTAAAATGACACCATTCAGAGTGAGCAAGCTTTCTAATTTCTTCAGAATTACTACTGGGTGTGTTTTTAAAGGACCATGTTAGAACATAAGACAGAAAAACAAAAATGGTATTTGTTGTATCTAGTTGTCCATATTTAAATTTGCAAGTAGTGTCAATTAGGCAATCACATGGGTGTAGTGACTGTAAAACACATAGGTTTTTAAGACTAAAGAAGCCCATTTTTAACACAAATAAAAACAAGTTGACATATCAATGACTCAAAAGGGGGAAGTGTGAATTAGTCACCAATTCACAAAAAAGGCGAACAAGATACAATTACCTTTTGTGTGCAGTGTACCACAAAAGCCACAAAATAAAAAAGGATCTATTTTCACCTTAGGCCAATTATATGGAATAAAAATTTGCCTTAGCTTCACTAAAGTAGAGAAGCTAATAAGCTAGACACATAACTGCTATTTGGCCACAAGTTTGAATCCCGAGATGAGATCTAGGTTTATACCCACAAGAGCCTGAAAATTGCTAAGAAAAATATGTCTTTTTTTTTTTTAAGAAAAAATACATCTAGTACCACTGACTTCATCTGGATATCAATATAAAGATATGAGCACAGAAAATTCTCTCCATACCTCATCCTTACTATAGAAGCATGGAAATTAGTTTGAGTGAGTGTGATCATTTTGAGTGAGACCTCTTGTCTAGTAAATGACATCATCAAGAGATTTTAAGACTATGATCTGGATTCATAATCTGCGTGTAACAAAATAGCTATACATGCCCACAACTTGTTTAAGTATCATGATACAAGCCTCATATGGCTGTAAACCTCTGTACATGTATTTTTACTTGGAAACTAAGGATGTCCTGAAAGGTGTTCAGCTGTAACAGTTGTAATAAGAGACATTTTATCCTTAACACTTGTCACTGTAACTGTTTAGTTACTGAAAACTAAACATGAAGGGAAATTCGGTTTTAGTGTGTAGTATATAAAAGTGGTGATTCACTCGTTTTATTTAGTGCATATCTATTTCAAGAGACAAACTATGGTATATATCATAGAGGAAGAAAAACAAACTAAATATAGCAAGTTTGTTATGTCTTTCTTCATACTTCCAAAACATTGTTAAAGGGATAATGCCCTCAGTTTTTGTTCAGAAAAAAAAACTAAACAGAAATATTCTTCATGTGTAACATTGTTTGGCTAATGTTGAAAGGCATTGCATTCGCTTGTTAGCATAAAGGTTTACTACTGTTGTTGACATTTATATTTGTCTCTCCTTCACATCAAAGAAAAAAATCACAGAATCAAAGCCTCTGTGGCCGAGGGTCAGGCAAGTGTGTCTCAAGGCTCCAGACTGAGTCACTGGGATGGAGGCTGGATAGAAACAGTAAAATGAAATGTATGGACACTTTTCCAACAGGCTGCATTTGTTGCTTAAGGTTGAAGACTTGGGGACAAAGTTAGAACTTTCTTCTGCTGGGTGCAACAAATTTCTGTGCTTCAAACTCATTAGACTCATATTCCATGTTTATATGCAACTTGTGGTCATACTGGCAAAGGGTGCACCTCCTTAGGGGTTCCTGGTCCAACACTGTCACCCTTAGGGTGCACAATTGTGTACAAACTACACAACAACACAAAGAGACAAAAATGCACATCTTGGAATGACGTCAGTTTGTCAGTAATGATTTCCAAGTGTTAAAGAAGCTGAATCACGGGGAGATAAATGAAAGAGATTAGTGATTTCAATCAGTTTGTGTGCATGAAAAATAAATGGATGAAGTCTATTTTTGTGTTTTGTCAAAAAGATGACGCACCCTTTCAGGGTCAAGTTATATTCAAGTGTGTGTTGTAATGACTGTGCTTTCTCAATCTGGCTCTGGAGTATCCTCTGCTGGGTCAGAGGGTGTCTTCTGCTTGTATATGAAGGTCAACAAGAAGAGTGCTATATCATGTGAGCACCAGTAGCCTGTGTGTGAGGTAACTGCTGACCAATAGCGGCTCTCCACCAGACCTTCTCGCAGCTCAAAGTCGATGCGCCGCTCCAGCTCCACTGTAGGACAGAAACAGGACATAATGATGTGACCTAATGACTAAGATCCTCCCATGACATTTTACATGTAAAAATTAAGTTCTAACTTCTGTAAAGAGACTTTTTCTATAATGGTTTAGTGTGTACAGGTAAGTGAACTTACATGTTGTGTCAGTAATGGGTGAGGTGGGCCGTGTCATGGTGGAGAGGCCATATGCTGACTGGCTTTCTGCCCGCTTCTGCTCCTCTTCTTCAGTGTTTGCCCCTCCATCGAGTCCTAAAGACACCGAAGGCTGGCTGTTGGAGCGGGAGAAACGCGAGAAGAGGATGCCTCCGATACCTTTCCCTATGCTTGCCGCTCCTACATTGAGGCAGTGTGGAGAGGACATAGAAAGAAAAAAGACATGCTGGGTGGGATGTGACTGAGAGCAAAACAAAAAAATGGTAGTAATAATTTGTCTTTCTGTTTTTATTCTTCTTTCTTTTGCTTTATTTCAAAGTAAGGTGTGTGAGCCCATTCTCCATCTCTCCACATGATGGCACTGTTGATATAGTCCTGGAGACAAATTGAGCATTTCACATACTTCAAATATTCTCACAGGGAGAGTGGATTTTACATAAGGACTATCCACAGAGCTCTAATTAATCCCCTATGCCAGTCTTAAAAGAAAACATTTTCACCTTTCTTCTCCATCCCAGACACTTCACTAAAGTAGTCTATTCTCACACAATTGTAAGCAGTTAAATATCTTACAAACTTTACGAACATCTGGTTTTATTTTTAACAATTCAAACTCTTCTGGACTGGTATATAATACCTGTAATAATCATATCCACAGCAATCATATACAGAAAACAGTTTAAGAGTCCTTAATACCATTTGGTACTGTATTCTTCACCATGAGGTAGCTTTAAAATCTTTCTAAGACTTTAAACTGTTCCAGTCATGTACACCATTATAGGCAAGTTTGGAACAGAGTTAGAAAAGTGATGGTGGTGTCATACCCAGTATGCTGGCCTTGCCCAGACTAGTGATGGATTCTCCATAGTGCCTGCGGGGGAGGACAGGAGAAGTGCTCGGGCTGGGGATGCTCTCAGTGTCAGATGTTGGGTCTTTGACTGGGTTGAGGAAGGTTGGCCGGATCTCATTGTAGGGTGTGGGGTTTGTGGCGCTACACCTGATAAAGAAAACAAAACTCAGCCATTCAGAGCATTCATACTTTAAAAACATTCTTTGTGTGTGCAAGGTATAACATCAAGTGTTATAAGTTGTAAGATGCAAGCTGTTACCAGTGTATCTGAACAGGTGCAATATTGCTGTAATGTTTGAGGATGAGGGGCTCCAGTCTGTAGGCCTGCAGAGAGCAATAAAACTTCAGTATTTAGTTAACTGTTTTCATATTAGGTTAAAATTTTTAGTATTATTATAATTAGTATTAGGAGAGCACAGTGATGAATGAAGTCCAGTGAGAACAGCAAATTCCTTCTGATAAATTTGTGAGGGTAAACACTAGGGAAAAAGGGGGACTGACCACAGGGTCTGTGGGATGGAAGACATTGAAGAGCCTGCTGCAGATGGAGGTGGGAAGGATGTGGTCCTGGTGGCAGCTTGTACCAGGGCGGATGCCTCTCAGGGCCAAGAACACTGCCAGAGGCGAACCCATGCAGAAAAAGTTCTCCACCTGTCAGACAAAAAGTGAAAATATGATAGCTCAGAAATGTTATCTTTTCCATCTGGTTTTGCTATAATAATGGACAAAAGAAAAACAACATACACCACCAAATAATTACATTGCTATGATAAATATTCACATGAGGAAGTGTCATCTGAGTTATATAGTCTTAATGTAACCTTGTAAGAAAAGCATTGAAATCTCCATCATTTATCATTTTCGAGTGATGTCATATTGTAAAAGTATACTTACAGTAAGTTTACGTAACTGAGCATCTTACCTTAAATTTGAGGGCTGGGGGTGCTGTTGGTTTAGAGGCCTCCAGTGTGAGGAGCTGATTTTCCAGCTCTTGCAACCTGTTAAAAACAAAAAAAGCACAGTGCCCATAAACTGTAAAAAGAAATTAAAAACTTGATCTAAAAACTGAAATCATAGGTCGAGAATCAATTGTAATATTAACCCCTTGTATGCACTACTTTTACCTGCAGTTATACACACACACACACACACACACACACACACACACACACAGAGTTTTCAACCACTCCAGTGGCTTCTTGTTGCACTACGGTAATGATGCACACACCAAATGATATTGCACACACAGGGTGGTACAGAGGAAGGAAGCATATTAAAAGTCTCTTCCCTTCCATTTGATCATGAGGCATCACAATACCCTGCTGTCTGACCAAAGCAAACAGGAAACACAGCTTGCCACCTGACAATCTCACAATGGAGCATGTGAGGAGCACACGCTCTATCATGTGTGCCAGAAAAAACAGACAAATGCTCGGTTTAATGTTGAATTTGCATGAGAGGAAAACGTGAGCAGCATGGATTGTTTGCTCTTCTCAAGAGAGCTGAAGGTAAATTAGAAAGCTGATATGATTAAGCCCAGTTTAAACATCCAATTAGTTCACTGTGTGGTATTCTGCTGCTAAATTAATCTATATTATCAAATTTATATCTAAGGCCTCTCTGAGATTTTTGTGGGAAACTATTTCTTAGGCTTTCTCTAAATCCCTCTAGCAAATCCTTTAGGACATGCAGGTATTAACACAGTCCCTGAGATCTACACAAGCAAGCCCTACCTATTCCTTGTGAGCCGTAGCTGGTCCAAAACATGCCTCTCCTCATAGGACATCCAGCGCAGGTCAAGCTCCTCTTCCACAGCGTGATGCTCCTGCAGGCAGAAGCGCACAGGATCCCACCCTGTCATGATGTCGTAGGTGATGACACAGCCGAGGGAGTGAGACACGATGGAAACTTTCCCTCCCCTCTCCTCAAACTCAGGATTGCGGGAGCAGAAAAGTGTGTACAGTCTGTTTAGTTCCTGTGTTAGGCCCTTGGTGATCTGGAGGGACAGGAAGTGGAGAAGTTTAACGGAAGAACGGTGTGCAACAACGATGTCTGAGAGTTTCTGAAAGTGTGTGACTCTCACCTCGTCCCTGTATAGGGGGCTGTTGTAGTACATGATGTCCATAGCACTGCTGTTGAGGAGATCTCTCAGTCCTCTCACTTTGTCTGGTGTGATTGAGTCTACTGTATCTACAGAAAGATACAACCAATATCACAGTTCAAAATATATTCAAGAAATTTAGTGCCATATGATAGTACCTGTATTGATATTATAGTCAACTTTTCTCAAACTTTTCACTTTGATTAACTTCGCTAGCGGTATCAACAGTATATTAGTGTATGACAGCAGCTCTGCTTCATTAGCTGCCCTCATTACGACAGGAAAGACACATGAGAACAGCATAACACACTTGAAGCACAGACCAAACACAGTCAGGTGCGTGCTCACTCTAAAAAACACATGCTAACCTCCATCCAGTGCAAGTTTGGAGCGCCACTCAACAGGCAGGAACTCCACATGCTCCTCATTGTTCTCCGAGAAGTGTTTCTCCTCCATCTTCCTTACGCCCTCCCTCAGCCTGAACAGCCACATGACAATAAAGATCATAGAGCAGATTATGACAACATTAAATATTTTATGACTTCAGAGTGTATTTGGATATATGTTAGCCTATATGCCAAAAACATTCAGATACAGAATGCAATAAAAGAGTGTGATTTAGAAACAACGTCATCGTCACATTGTTTGGGCACTAGTGTATTATAATGACAGGTTGTGAGTGGATGACTAACAGCCTCTATGTTTATCCACCCTTGCTACAGACTGACTAGAGAGTCTGTGTTTGCACTCGTTCTTTCACAGACTTTAATTACTGTCAGGAAGAGAAGAATGATGTCCATTTTACTGCTCACTGATGCAGCAGCTTCCCTCATGCAGCACACACACATACCCAATGGCTGCACTGCTGCTAGTTGTATATGGGGCAGCATTAGCATGCAGGAAACACTAAATACACAAAGAGAGAGAGAGGGTGAGGTAGGGTGTTGACATGGGTAAATGGAGGCTGAGAGAAGCTTTTAGATGAACAGTCTCCAAATGAACCTAATGCAAGTTGTGACAGGACTATCTAGTGTGTCTGCAGCGGAACTTAAATGCTCAGAGGTTTGAGCGCTGCATTGCAAAGCTCTCTGTGCTGCACCCACAAGGACTGCCTAGCTTTTAGGTTGGCATTAATTTGGGCAGTGACATTCTAGGTTTAGCTAAAAACATTTTAGAGAGACAGTCCCTGATTTTTATAGACCGTAATAATACCCCCAAACCCCCACTATATCCTCTATCACTGAAACTTTGAGAGGAACAAAACTGATATTGAAAAGAAAAACAAAAAAACAAGGAACTGACAACACATGTCAAGCTGATCTTTCCTCTTGGCCGAGGAAAACGTGTATACTGTAATCCACAAGGAGCTGGGAGTGAGGCTTAAAGTGTTTTGCAGCTGGACTTGGTCTACTTTACCTGCTTAGCTGGCCTAAGCCGTGAGCAGTGGCCAGACGTTGACTTTGTGACACAGAGACACACATGGCACTGGTCCGCACATTCTGTACTACAGCTTACAGTAAGGACCATGGATAAAGGCCAATACAGCTGTCATTGTAGTTTCCTCAAGCTTTGTGAACTCTACACGAATATCTATTATTGTCGATGTTCCTCATTAAAACATGAAACCTTTGAAAAGACAAAAGCTCAGCAAGCTGATTACAGGATTGGCTAGCAGTATCAGACCACAGTGATTCTCTCACGGAGATCTCTGAAAGTTGAGCCACCACTCAAATAAAATAGAAGTAAATGGGATTTTGTTTGTGCTGCTCAGAGCACAGCTGGAAATACAGGCTTGAGAGATGGATTGATGATGTTGGGTGTAACTGGTTAGTTTATTTATTTAAGTTTTAACACAGGGATAGCATGGGCCTGAGCTGACTGGATATAGATTTTTCATCCAGACTTTTACCCAGTATTAGCATGTGTCTACTCTTTGATGTTTCCTGCAGCATTTTTGAAATGTTGCAGCTAAGTTTGTTGCATTGCATGCACATTGCACTGTTTCTGTATTTGCTTGTGCTGCAGTGCATTTCCCCGTCCTGTTGTGTTTTCTCAACTTTTAGTGTGTAGTGCTTTGTTGGCCAGACAAGGCACTTCAACAATACAAAAAAAAGTAAGAGAATGGCAGGACAGGATAAAGAGAGTGAGAACGAAGAGGAAGGGAGGAGATCAAAACACAAAGGCTGCAGGTGCAGTGTTATCAAGAGAAATGCTTGAAATATCTTCAATTGCTGTAACTATGGCTTTAGATGAACAAAGCAGAGGGAAAAACCGAGCAACATCCCCAATTTAGTTAATAGAGTAATATGCTACTTATATTTATTATATTCAGCATTGTGTAAAAATTCATATGCAATGAGTAGTGCATAAGTAATGAATGAATACATGCACTGGTTATAGTTGGCAAAGTTTCAGGACAAAGAAGTTGTCTGGAATCATAAGAACCTGCCTGACAGGATATCTGAAACCCCTCATCAGTTCACCATGTGCTGTAGCTTAGTCACGAGGCCAGTCACACAGAAAATGCTATAACACAATCTATAGCTTGTGTTGTGAAAGAGAGAAACAAACTAAAAAGGGGGAAGGAATCAGCCATATCATGAAAGCCACAGGAAAAACAAAATGACAGACAGAGAAGTATGAGAGACAGATAGTGTCTGAAAAAGAAGAGAAACCAAACAGAGAACAAACAAACTTCATAGCAATTCAAACATCACATCATCCCAGAGAGATTTCTTCTCATCATGTACTTAGATTTAATTAACTTAGATTGGGTGTAGATGTGTGCAAATAAAAAGGTTAAAAATGTGGAGGTTGTGCTTTTTTAATCCTGACAGATTCCAATGGAATAAAGGTGAAAATTTTGAGGTCTCACTGACAAAAAGGAAAAACGCAAATCCTCAAATAAATCATCTCATTAAATACTGCAACTCACATTCCAGTGTTTTTAATAATGCGTCCCTGGTCCATCTTTTGTCCAATCCCGTGGACCACAAAGACAACGTGTGTAGTCTGAGGGGGTCTGTCCTCAGGTGAGGCCTCCTCAACATAACCCCGATGGAGCCGTGTACCACTACTGGAGGCTGGAAGAGGAGAGAGGACAGGGCTGGATCATTATTGCAATGAGATGTTTACTTGTCATTCATGTACAGTACATTTACATTTACTTTTAAATTTACATTTTTACAGTATTTTCTGTCCAGCATTTGCTGAATAAACACATTTCCAATCTGTTCACTAGAGGGCTATAAATATATAAGAGATGGTGTGGTGTTTAAGTAACGTGCTGTTCTGAGTCCAAACAGGACAGCAGGTGAGACACGGAGTCCTGCTGTGACTGTGGCCCTTGTAATGTGCCCAGAGGGCTGAGCGTGTGTCCTTATTTAGAATCTATAGTCTAGTCCAGTCATGTGCTGTGCAGCAAGGTGATACGAGCCAATGGAATTTGCTGCTGTCTGGACAGCACTAAGGAGATTTCCTTTCGCTATGCATTTGTGTCAGGGGAGATTGAGATAACCAGTGTCAGCTCCTCCTCTTATAATCTGAGAGCAGGAGATGAAAATGTACCATGGTGCTGGGAGACTCAGACTTAGACCAGATTAGAGTCACCCATACAGATCAAACATCAGACAGTGGGTTAAACTGCAGTTGCCATCTTCTCAGCTACTCTTGGGCCATTTGACCAAACCTAGCATCTGAAAATAACAGATGGACGCTGTGTGATTTTCTGGGCTAATCCATTTAAGAGACTGGACTGTACCCAGCCATGTTTAAATAACTGTTACAACAAATGGCTGTTAATACTAGCAAATGATTGTGCACTGCACATGCAGCAATATGGATGTCATTTGTGCATTAAATGGACAGAAAATTGGGTAAAGGTGTTGACCTAGTGAAAATGAAGCAATTACGTTTTTTGACAAAATGTTTCGTTTCACACAATTTATAACCAGAGTTTTAGCAAAGGTGATAACAAACGGTTTTTATTTGAGAGTGTGAAGCAATGCTAGTAGTAAGGCCCCATTGTACAGTGGTGCTTTGAGCTAAATGCTAATGTTAACCTGATGATGATGCTAGAGGGAAAATTAGAGGGTGATTAAAGTCATTAGGATACAATGTCTGGGAACCATGAATGTCTGTACAAAATCTTATGGTAATCAATGCAATAGTAGTTGAAATTTTCCAGATCTGGACCAAAGAGGTGGCGCAACCAAACAATCCTGGCATCCCTAGAGTCCTGTTGTTAGCATGGCTAAAAACATGTCATGTAATCATGAAAAAAAAAATCTACTTACTACAGTTTATTGACTATCGATTTAATTCTAACAGAAAATTTCAACCTACTTCATGTTGACAAAAATGACAAAAAACACACAAATCTGCAGTATGATTAGGAAAATGTTTGTCTACCTTACTGTCTGGAGAGATGATGACAGTGGATAATTACAAACCTTTGGAGAAGCCCAGTTTCTGAGTGACGGTGCGTGCAATTTTGGAAGTGGTGGCATCGCTGTAGAGGTAGACCTCATCCACGCTGTGCCAATCCACATGGGTCCGACTCAGCTTCAAACTGTGGATGGCTGTAGGAGGGGGCAGTGAGAGAGGAGTGAGCGAATGAATGGAAGGAGGAAAAAAAAGAGGATGGCATTGGCAGATGATTTGGGAAATTGGGCAAAGAGGAGAAACGGGTGAAGGAAAAAGGTTCACCAATACAAAGTTTTGTGGTTACAAATTTTAGGGAGAGTACAGAGGGAGAGAGATTGAAGACATCATGAGAATTACACCAAGTTACAATCATCTTAAATGCAGTAGAAAAAAAAGCAAAGGTCTAGGATCAATCTATTCGAACAGCTCAATCAAATGCAGTCTGGAGCATTGATCTGCAGGTGGAAAGAAAAACACATCAAACTATCACACACCATGATTGCATATTTCAGCTCTTGCTTGTCCGTCCTGCTTGTGCATCATCATTCTGTGTTGACTGGAGATATATTTGTGTACTTGTAAAGTAACATGTAAATTCATTTTCACTCCAGGTTAAGTTTTTCTGCAGGTTGTCCAGGTGCAAATGCAGTGACTAGAGCAAGCAAGAGCAGAGGTATGACTAGAGGGGTGGCGCCATTTACTACAGAAGATAAGAGCGATAAATGAGGCTGGTTGACTTGAGAGCTTTATTTATGTCCCTGCAGCATGTCCTTTAGATGTCCTGTGCAGTCAAGTTCATCTGAATGAGACTAGTGGAACACTCTGGCATTGGCCCAGTGCACAGTCATGACTCTTTGTGCTGTTCTGAACCAATCTGAGGATTAAAACTCTTCAGAATGGGGTACTGCACTCGGAGAAACATTATGTTCCAGACGACTCTTTTGCAAGCTTGAAACAATATTGCCCACAAACAATGAAAATTAATAGGTACAAGTGTAGCAGAAACATGTTTTTACTGTATTACAATGTTGTTTCCAGAACAACCCTGACAGCCTGAGACTTTTGTACACACTGTGGGAAAATGACCAGGAAATCCCTTGTGTCATGTGTCAGACCTGTGCATGAGTTTGTTTTTTTTTTTTCTTTCTCATTCATCATTTTGCATTTGGACATTTACAAGAAATTCCTATATACATGTAAATTAATAAAAGAAGAGATACTCCATATGAACAGAGCCCATGTGTTTGTGTGTGACATGGTGGGGTTAAACTAGGCCTCTGTAGCCTGGCAAGCTAATTTCTTCATTGGACAAGTATGACTTGTTGGTAATGCAAGGCCAAGCAATTATTGCACCTTAACTGAGACCTGCTCACTCTGAGTACAACCAGTGTGAAAATGAATGACTGCCTCTAAAAGGAGAAGGACAAGCAGGGTCTGGAAGAAGACAAGGAACAGAAGTGTTGGGCTAAAGGACACTAATCAAATTTGAAATAACAAATGGAATAACATTGTTTTCCCTGTTAAAATAATAAAGCTTGTGTTCTTAGAAACCTGAGGTGAGAGATTCGATAGCATACATAGTTTCTTCTCTCACATCATTTATCCTTGTAGATCCTCAAATGAAACCACTCAGTAGTAAAGGAAGCATATGCTTAACCTATAATCACACAGTTTAAAGTGGCCTCCTGTTCTCATCTATCTCATGCACTCACAGGTGAAGACACAGAAGAAAAGTAAGCTGCTGTGTGAGATGAGACCTACAACTACTGCACAAGGAAGGCCACTTCAGACTGTTGGGCTTTATTGGTAGCCACGTCCACTGTAAGACAGGAGGTCTCAGCGACCAAGTACAACTTCTCCAGTTAGCTGGCTTTATTAATATCAAATGTTAGTTTGATGGGACTTAAAAGGTAAAATGTAGCCAGTGAGGTAGAGTGATGGTTAGGGGTTTGTACAAGGATACTTCCTGTTTTACAATGAAGAGCAATGCATTGTGAGAGGAACGGGAAGGAGGAGGGGATGAAAGTGTATGGAGGAGCTGGCAGTCAACCAAGAAAGGTTAAAGAGTTTACTGATCTAGTTCTCTAGCAGCCATGGAGAACTACTGACAGACATGTGGTGAGAGAGAGGGTTAAACATTAAGGGATGAGAGGCAAAGAATGTGATTAAGAGTGGGAAGGGGTTGAGCAAGATGTTGAAGTAGAAGAGAAACAGGGAAAATGTGGGGGAGAGATTTTGGGATGCACAGAGCAGAGAAAGGAGGGGTGAAAGAGATGAAAACGTAGGTCTCCTCAAATCAATCACGAATACGAGGTGCTATGGCATTAGTCTGGGGCCGTGACAATTGTTTTCTAAGGAAAGATAGCAGTTACAACTTTTTCTTGGCTATGGCGTTCGATGACATGTCAATGTATAAGCTACATTCCCTTCATAGGGTTTTCCCACCTCTTGTAGGGAAGGACAAGACAGAATACTAGTGCAATGTTAATGTAATGTTAGTATAATGTGTACTAGTTACAATACTGTAATACTCTCAATACAGGTGGTGTGTTATACAGGAAAACACAGGTCTCTGTTGAGGTCTACTTTGGACACTAGGCTTTAGGTCAATGGCTGCTTGGACTTACTATGAGATAAGGACACAGACCCCAAGACCTCGCTGTTCAGCATTTTTGATGAGGGTCAATGCACCCAGAACTAGGGCGGTGATGGACCTCTAAGAGGCCGACTCTACACAACATGTTTGGGGGCCATAGTAAATAACCACAATGGCTCCTCTGTTCAGTTCATCACTTGTGCTTGGCTCTCAACAGAGTGCTTTGTTCATTGCCCTTAGCGCGGGAGCTAGTGATGGTGGTTCATTAATGACCGTCATACTGCCAGAAGGGATAAGAGAGAGAAAAGAATGAGGGAGAAAGTGAGAGACAGGGTTGGGGAGATAAACAGGGGTAAAGAGGGGTGGCTTTTTTGAGGACCAGCTTATTCATTCCAGATCCACTGGTTTGAAGGGTCTTGCCCTTGTAGTTGACTGAACTGTATTGTCTACTCACTATCCCAACAAGGAGATGAGAGACAGGTTTCCTCAAAAAGCAGCAACAGCTACAGCAGTAGTACCAAATCCAGAGTCACAGCACAAAGGGAGAAGTTCTAGCAACTAGGCCCAGTTAAGGCTGCAATAGAGAACTGGGAGAGCAGCCTTAATCCATTTTAACACATCCATTTCTAACTGAGCCTAGGTCTAGCTCTAAGTATTAGATCTCAAAGGTCTGAACCACAAACAAAAGGAAACTCTAGCTCCACAGAGACCTAGGTTCTACAAGGAGAGAGGGTACAAGCTAGCGAATCTAATACAGCAGTAAAATCAAAAACAAAACAAAGAACAGAAACTTGGTATTTCACAGTACCTTGGCAGCGTTTGCGCTTGTGACCTGTAGTTTTAGCACTCGTCTGATATCCACTCCATTTGAACAGAAAAGGGAGGTAGAAAGGGGGCAGGTGGGAGAGAACTAACAACCGACAGAGAGTGAGTAATGGCCATTACCCTGGCGTCAATCACACATGCTACCACTGTCATCCCTCTTGAACAGGCCAATCTATCAAGTAGCGCTGCTATCAGGTTAACACTTCAAGGCCCTGGACACAGAACCTGTAGTGGTTACTGATAGGGCCTGGTGGCTGCAGGTAGATATCATGAAATAATGAAACAATGCCTAAGTAATAGGCTGGAGTATGAGTCAGCCTACAGCCCAAAATACAGCGCTTCTTGACATACGCCCAAGATGACTGAGGTAGACTCTGAATTACACTTAACTACAGAAACCTACTGTCTTCACCGTGAAAACTAAACATGTCATAAAATTAACAATGATTTCTTTAACTTCTTTTAACTTTTGTGTGAGTGTAATACACTGTAAAGCTTCTGAAAAAGACAGCATCACTGGAACACATTTTGTTTGTTCCACACTTTAAACATTATAGGTGGAAGAAATAGCCTTTTGGGGACAACAACAAATTTCCACAGAATAAATTATGAACAGAGTATAAGAAAATAGAACTGTATTGTAAAGTAAATCAAGGGGCACAAAATTATCCAGCATTTCAAGACATTTTGTAAAAAAGTGAGACACAAATAAGAACACACTTTCTAGACAGCATCTAGAAGCATTTGTTTCCATTTGGGTTAATAAATACTTTACACTTTGCATTAGAATTGTTTCAGGGAAATGATTCTGAATCCCGCTCAGAGCAAGAAACAAAAAAACAAAAAAGAAATCTGCATGTCAAGTATTGTTTTGTTGTTATTTCTCATAAACAGAAAAAACACAAGTCCTTGTAATTTTTTGTGTTTGTTTGTGTATTTTCATAGATATATGGTTTGGTAACTACCAAATCCTGAAAAAAAACGATAAAAACACTCACACACAAATGTTAACACTGATGAAACTAAAGCATCACTGATGAAGCTGACTAAAGTTAGTAAACAATTGCTGCATCTAGATAATTAGAAAAATTCATGTGTTTGTATGTACATTTTAAACACTTACATACAACTTGAACCAAGCTGCAGCTCAATCAAACTGAGTTATATATACATTAAATCACTGAATTATTCAAATGGCTGGCTCGATCAGCATCTGTTAATCAAATCTGTTAAGCTAAGTCCATGGGTCTCAGATCTGACTACATCATTCATTCTGAGAATCAGACTTGCAAATGTCAGCAGTGTCTCCCTCAGCAGAGGTGAAAGGCTGAGGCAGATGAGAAGAGACCTGCTGAGTGCACAGGATGTTTATTTGCTGTAAAAGCTATCAGTGAAATCCATTTGGGCATTACAGCACTGATGGATCCATAAACAGGTGTTCCCTAATGACTGAGAAATTCACTATGCACAGAATCCCCATCATAAGGAACAGATAACCTTTGCTGGTGTGGTAGAAAGTAATGTGCGACATGACACACATAACTTCATCTGAAGGCAACACTGGACAACCAACAATCATTTCCAGATCAGTCCAGACAAAGCTATCTATTGTTGTTACAATGAGCAATAGACTTGGACAATCCCACAGACTTTTTGTCTCATGCCGCCTGATGATTTCAAAACATATTTGATATCTTGAGCACAAAAATCACCAAATCTAACTGATCTGTGCCAGATGTGGGCCCCTCTACCACACAAGACATTTCTGGTTCTTTAAAACATGTGCCATCAGTCATTAGTCGTGCAGTGTGTTCCCAGTCTCATGTGCTGGTTCAATAAATATCTAGCTGAATACATAGCGCACACAAACAAACTTGTGAGCCTTGCCTACCTCTAAAATACCAAAAGTGTTATGCTGACAGATGACACTGTGCTCAGCCCACTGCGTGCTGGCTTTATTTTTCCTTGACGTCTGAGAAGCCAAACAGACTGGGGCACACCCTATAGTTTCCACCATAGGCATACTCTTCAATACTCCACATACACGCAAATAGGAAAAGCTAGAAGTGAGCGAACAGGATCTTCTCCTGATTAAATATTTTTTTCTGATTCTTTCTTTTTTTCCTATTTGATATACAGCTCTCTGAAAAATTTCAAATAACATTTTCCTCAGATGGACTTGCAAAATAACACTGGCACCATTATTCTAAGAAAAAACATTCCACTGATCAAAGTTGGAAATGATTTAATCGAAACATTAAAATACAATTAATAAAATCCATCAACTGTAACGTCCCTGAGGCCGTTTTTGGCTTCAGTAACTGAAATAAGATCTGTGGCTTTCTCTCTGATGCCACAAACTCAGCATTTGTGACCACTGTTAACGTTCCTACGGCAACAGTCATTCTTCAAAGGATACGCAGAAAAGTACATTTGTACCATGAGAGAACAGGACATTTGTACACTTTCTGTACCGAGGAGTAGTCCTGCCCACATTCTCATGTTATGCCTGCATTGCACGCTGGTATGCTGATCATACTGTATGTCTTCTGCTTCACTAACCTTTAGTCTCAGCTAGCTACTGAGGCACAAGGAGAAGGGTAGAGAAAAGAGAGATGAGAGACGGAGAGAGTAAGAGATAGCAGGGAAAATGTATGTACTGCAGTAATGTCAGAGCCTGGCTCACTCGCTTTATGATCCATTTATCTATTGTAATGCGGTTCAAGGTAGCCTTCTTATGGCTGCAAGTGCTTCAGATTTAATAATTCAAAAGGAAAATACTCTATTGTAACGGCTCCCTGTAACAGCAGCCCAAACAAGGTGAATTCACAGGATCTATCAGTCACGTTATTTTAACTCTCATGGAGAGAAACACAGGAGTGAAAAGCAAAGGCAGCAGGACAGTTCTAAAAACATGCTCAATCTTCTCACTTCTAGCTGTTAAATGGCAAAGTTGTGTCAAAATAAGACATTAGAGTTTTAATACTAAAAATTATGTAAGGTAAGAACCCATTTTTAACCGTATAATATTGTGATAGAACTAGACTTTGGAGATTATCTGACTCTGTGACTGTTTACATGCCTGTGTGCATATACAGATATTTTAGTGTCCATCTGTACATGTACACTATTGCTTGTGGAACAGGGGTGACCTTCCAGTTTCTTCCTCAACATGTCTATGATGCAATTTGAGGGAAGATGTAATAGCAGGGACTATATGACCCAAAGGGTGACGATGCAAGTGACTTTCCTCTGCTCTGTTGATAGTCTTATCTACAGGCCTTAATTTATTCTGAGGAGGGGGAAGTGACAGTGTCCTGACATGTCGCAATGGTGCAGTGTACTAAAGACATGAGGCAAACAAAAAAAAGAGCACAAGCTAGATAGATTTGCAATATAAATCAATAACCTGTTCAAGGTCTGACTGAGGCTTTGTTTAATTCAGAACAATTTAACAATAAACAAAACACGTTACAGGAACTAAAGCTAATTGGAAGTTCAGTACATATTATAGTTAAGCTGCCATACACTGATTTAGTATTTATGTTTCAGATTACTTTGGTGTTATTTTGATGCATGTTTCTGTTTCGCTCAGTTATACTTGTAATGCAGACTAAATATTTTCTCACCCTCTTTAACAGTTGCTGCATCTTTTTCTCTGCTTCTCTCTATTTATCTGCCACATTCACACACCCACACATTCATCACCAGAGAAGGTCCTGTAGATCTGGCTGCCTTGAGAAGACTGCTGAATCAAAGGACCTCTTTCTTATTGCGTTCCACAGCTAAAGCCTGCTACATTTCGCCTGAGCCAGCCCTGCGACAGGGACGTGCCAGCATGAAGAATGCCAGAATGAGCTGCACCTGCTTTACATTGGGAGGATGACACGACAAAATCTACACACACACACACACACACACACACACACATACGCACGCACGCAACCACGCACACACGTGAATGGAGGCACCTGCTCCATTCATTTCTCTTGACTGCACATCGGTACTACAGCAGGCAGGGGTGTCACATAATTCACCATTTATGACTCACAATCCTTTTCTTCTGGCTTTATTGTGAAGATGATGCCTTTACTTTTTAATGGAGTTTATAACTAATCACACCTAAGGGAGCATTTCCTCACTGCCCTAACACAGCACACTGTACGTGTTATTTTACAAGATACGGCCTGCCTGGAATAAAAATACTTCACATTCAGTGAATCCACCAGTAAAGAAGAGAACAATTTTTATGTCACTGGTTTGCTATATGGTGTTTTGGGCCTTTTGTTTCAACTCCAAACCACACTATCATTTATTCAATCCTTAGTTACCAGAATGGATGTTTCTGTCCTGTGTTGTTTAAAATATGTGATATAGTTTGTGGCTTTCTAGAGTAAGAACATTCTGCCGCAATAAAATTATAATATATTATCCTTATACTTCTACCCATGCCCTTCCCATTCTCTCACCATCTTTGCTATCGACGGTCCTGACGACCAAATCTGTCTCAAATGTGTCCTGCATCTGTTGTCCACGGAAATGGTTCAGGTGCTCATACTCGATTAGGTCACTCTCCTCTTCCTCTAACGGGAGCCAGGTACCGTCAATAAACCACTGGCCTCTCATCACTGAAATATGGTCTTGCTCTGCAAGAAAGAGTAAAAAGAAAACAGATTTAGTCTCAGCTACAAAACAATAAATTCATTGTGAGGACAGACATTTGGGACCTAGTCCTATGAATCCAGGAACCTAAGGGGCCCTGATGTGTTTTGGTTGAAATTAAATCTTCCAAAGTAACAGTGTTACCACAGTCCCTTTCTAGGAACGGATTCCTATTCAGTATGCATTTTGGATGACGTAAACTGATTTCCATTTACCTCAACAAGTCTGGTAATTCCAGAAGGGCCAAGTCTCAGCAGCTTATGAATCGAGGCCAGTTTTGATTACAGTCTTGAGTGACATTATTAACTCATTCTCCTGGAGTGAATTATGAGTGTAAAAGCAGAACTGAATGTAGGCACATTTTGCAAAACAGAATGTGAGACTGCCCATCAACATACTCTCATTCATAGACAGAGAGGCAAACCACAACGCTAAGGCTAAGAGAGACACACAAGAAAAACACACTGATAAAGGCTCACAGTAGATTCTAGTCACTCACTTGTGAAGGTGGTTCATATCTGGTCTGAGGAGATAAGTCAACAACATGTGACGTTTCAAATTTCCACAAAATGAAAAGTGAACTTTTCACCTTGTTGCTATATTTACATGTTAGAACATAAAGCCATTACCAAAACTTGCCGAAACCATCACATTTTGTATTCTTGTATAAGAATATCTGAACATTTTACTTCTTGGATCACAGTATATCAACAACACTTCCAACCACATGAACTGGCCTCTCTATCCATAACTTATATATTAATTCTTAAATATTCTCCTCGTGTATTTGTTTCCATCTCAAATGCAGTGCATTGGGGCCTTAAATGCTAACATGACACTGTATTAGCAGTGTTACAGACCAAACTGAAACAGCACTGAACTGACGATAAAGGACTTACATCCACAGCATGAATGTTCAGGAAAATAACTGCTTCTCTAAATGTCACTTGGCATTAACCTTCAAAAGAACCAGCTACCCATGAACCCTTTCATCAAGGTCAGGTTTTCTGAGGCTCTATAGTGACTGCTTTCATTTGTTCCCTGCCTTTTCCTGGAAATATCCATGAATTAGTTAGTACAGATCAGCTGAACCCAATAGACTGACTTCCTGTGTTGTTTAGATGTCCCCAAAAGACTAGGCTAAGTAATTACTTAGCCCTTAAAAATACTGAAAAACTATGCAATTAACTAAACTGAATGAATAATCATCTACTAGTTTGTATATTTTATGGGAAATCTTTTATGGGAGCAGGGATGGATGATGCTTGCACTGAGTCTCTGAGTGAGCACCAGACTTCTGAGTGGCTGTGGGTCATTAATCTGTATGCTGTCAGCCATTATACTGCAGAATATATGGTATATTAATGAGGTATATGTGCACAAGGGGAATTAATGCCTATGGACATGCACTCAGTTAGTGATGCTGCTGACACCTGCCACGAGCAGCTATATAACTTGTGACTGATGCAGAGCTAAAAATATGGTTTTAAAGACTTTGATCAGGGATATCATTTTATGATACTCACGCTTCCAGTAAACAGGATAGCATTCTCTCTCTTTAATATCCACCTCATAGAGTCCTCCCCGGACACACACAGGCTCAACATTGATTTCAATGCTGTCAGGGTCCCTCTCTTCCGAGGACACAGTGGATGTGTCCAGGGATCCCCGGCCTCCGTGCACACTGCTGGTCCTCGTCTCCACCGGCACTGCACCGTTCAGCCCTTTGCTTTCCACACGGTTATTACTGCACTCTTCCTCCCCGACGCTGACCCGGGGGCCTGCTGCACCAGGGTTCAGCTCGCAGTATTTCCGAAACATAAGCTCGATATTAAGCGAGTCATGCCCGACAAAGGGCTTCCAAGTTTTCTTGTCCTCTTTGTAAAACCACCGCACCTCCTCAGGTCCGAGCTCCGTGACCACCTCGTTGAAGCGGTGTCTGGAGCTGTTGGACCGCGACCTCTTTCTCCTCTCGAACAACGGACCAACGTTGTTCCCGTCGTTGTCGCTGTACTCCAGAGAGCTGCTGTCGAGGTAGGCTCCAGGGGAACTCAGGTTCAACAACAACCCGGACTGGGTGCTGTGGTGTTTGGCGTGTAGAAGCGGCAGGTGTCCGTCCAGTCCAGACTGGACCGAGGACATCCCTGCCTGCATCGCGCCGTCCATGGGACTCATCTCGTGACAGCACGAAAACACATCGTTTCCCAGATCCCACTCCTTGTTGTTGTTGGTAGTGTTAACGCTGACCGGTGAACCTTTACTGTCGGGGCTCAAAGAAGAGCTCAACGTGGAGGTTTTGGTTGTAATGTTGAAACTGCTCATAACTATCCGAGCAACCCAACCTCACAGTTACCTCCTCGTCTGTCACTTCACCTTGTCCAAGCTCCCAAGCTCTCACTACTTTGCAATAGCTACCACAACATTTCACAGTAGACAGTGCTAAAATGAAAATCTCAACAAAATTAAAGATCTCCAGACAAGCTCGCACCACATTTCCTTGAGTGTACCGCTATCCGCTTGTTAGCTTGCTAGCCGGCTAAGCTAATGGAGCTGGTTGGAGAACTAGCGTACTACTAGCAAAGTCTGCAACGTTAAAACCAGAAAATCCGTCTAACCTTCTTTCTCCTCTAAAAACCTGTGTCAAACCCCCCACTTTCCTTTCACCGTGGCGCTTTCGTCCAGTCTGGTAGGAGTAACACTGTAGTCACCATACTTTGAGTGTTCCGGGTTTCGGTGGAATTTCAGATTCATTCGTTGTCCAAACAAACCTTGCATGGAAACAACGCTGTAGTATGCGTGTGTGGCTTGACAGCTGACGCACAGATCACAGGATTCCTTCGTGAACGCGCACGTAGAAATTACGCGAGCATGACGACAGTCTCCCACTCGTAAAACGCATTCATCTTTTCATCTTCCACTAGATGGAGACAAACATCTATCAATTGTTATAGGCCTTGCTTTAATTATTTACAACGTGCAACGACTTGATCTGCCACTAGAGCGCAGCAAAGACCTGCTCATTGTAAAGCTGATGTCCCAACTGGTCCGCTGCTTTAGAGCATTTAGATTTACTTAAAAACTTTATTACAGACTACTGCAAAGTTTTTAGTCACAAGGGTGGACAAATTAACAGGAACACTCCAATACAACATCACAGCAAACTTTGCTACAGCCACAAATCCTTTAATAGTGAAAAACAAACAGCTTTATGATTCAGTCTCCATATAAATTCTTTCATATAGACAATTTCCGTAAGAATATACTTGATATATTACGATAGAAGAATGAGATATAATCTTGATAGAATGAAAATCAAAATGAAGCAAGTAGCCACAAAGTGCCTCTTTGTTTAAGTTCAGCCCACAAGTCACTGGTGTCAATGAACTCCAAAATCTATTTGTAATGTATCTGTTCTAGTGCTAACCAGTGTGTTTACATCTTTGTGTGTGAGTTCATGAGTACAGTGTGAGTTTGTGTCTGTATCCCTGTGCATATGCGTGCATGTATGCATGTGCCCATTTGTTTGTTTATGCAAGTGCATGTGTTTGCATAACGTGTGTTTTGTGTAGTGCTATTTGCGTGTGTACTGCTGGTCCAGGTGATCCTGGGGGCCGTGGTGTGGTCTGTGGGGAGAGAAAGAGAGGGATAGGAGAGAGGCCCAGGCAGCTGTATTTGGAATAAACAGACATTACCCTGCTGTGTTCTAATTTACTGCAGAGTGGGAATTAAACTTTAAACTCGTCCCGCCCCTCTGCAGCCCAATACTGCATGCTTCTGGCCATCAACAACCACTTGCACAATGTGTGTTATTAAAGTGTTACTCCACTAAGAATCTAACTTTTTAGTATCAAATCACACCCCCTTTAAGCTTGAAAGGTACCTGTAAAAAATGTTGTCTTTTACAGAGACAAACCTTCCAGGGAAGCTTTGAATTTTTTTAGGGCAATAATACAACGTTTGGAGAGGTGGATTACTCGGCACAAGTGGTTTAAGATGCTTCTGTGAATGTTTTGATAGTTTGTACTCACTCAAAAAACTTGTCACCTTTGGAAACAATTGTTATGCACTGAATGAAGCTGTACATTGCTGCTGTTCACTGTCAACAATGGCACTTTTTACAGGGACTTTTCTAGCCCATTTGGGGCGAGTGTTTGATACTCAGAAGATAAACAAAAACCAGGATAATTTGAGTTATCCTAACAGTTATTCATAATCCATAGCCCACACAAGAGTATAAATGCATTTCATAGTTTTGATAGTCAAACAAAAATAGTCTCAGGCCAAAGTCCAGGAATTTTCAAGATGTTTAACTTAATTCTTTTCCCATTATTCTTGATTAGTTTAAGGTTTCTTTATGGAATATGAATATTCTGTGATCGCATTCAGCTCAACATGAACGTTCCAATATTATTATTTTCCAGATGATAGTCATTAAAAAATTCTTTAACATTGTGTAATTATGAGTGCAAGACTAATTCACATTGCAGCAATATCTAATGTGTATGACCAGAATAATTACTGGGTTAAACATGCAATGAGATCTTGCCAAGAGCACTTTCTCATTGCAGGTTTACACTAGAGGATGACATGTGGCTTTCATATACGAATTAGTCAAATTCCTCATTTCTGGCAGTCAAACTCAAACAGGTTGGCCTTTCTCTCGCTCTGTCTCTCTCTGCCCTGATGTTTTGCAACCACCAGGCCCACCACCTGGATGAGTGGATGACAAACAAACTGCAAATTTTCCTTCCAGTAACTGACCAAATAGATATTTATAACCAGCTGGTCACCTCCCCCACCCACTGGGCCCCCCTCTCCTCAGCCACGGCTGTGAGAGCTCCCTTTAAAGACCAGTTGTGTCACTTCTGGCTTTGTTCTTAAACAAAGAGAACTGCCCCTCATCTGCCCGTAATTGGGCCGACTCTTGGAATGTGCTTGATGTCTCCGCGCGGGCCATTGCTGCTCCAACAGACAGGCAAGGGGTTGCTGGGACATGGGAGATGAATGAGTGGAAATCAATGCACCCTTCCTTACTCTTGTCTTTACTCTTTTCTTTTACTTTCCTTGTAATTTTTCTTCCTTACCTCCCATTTCTTTCTTTTTTGTTCTCTGTTTCACCCCCTCTCAGCCACCTATTTTCTCAGGATAGAGGATCTCCCCATTAAAATAAAGAAACCCCACACTCATGGTAAATGTAACAGTCTGCCGATTGACTTCACTGGGTCTGTTTGGTCTTTCTGAGCTGCACCACCTCGCTAAGGTGGGGTGGTTGGACGCACTACAAGGCCGATCTGCGGCACATGTCACTAACAGTTACTGAGGTGATGTTGACCATGGGCAGATGGTTGAGAGGGGATTGGAGGGTGTTTACTGCATTGTTACTAAAGGGAAGCAATTTAGAGAGTTCAAATTCCACTTGCAAGGAAGGAAAAAATGTTGAAACAGTAGTTGGCAGGCTACCAAAAGCCTGAGCCCCTAATTGTTTTCATTAATAGCAAATAATCTCAAAGTGCTTACTCTGTATTCTGGGAAACATTATGGTGTTATATTCAAGACATGTACATCTGGGAAGTCTCTGAGGATTAGTTTGGAAATTTGTCTGTTGCAATCACATGAACCCCAGGTGAAAAGTTTTAGGACTTTTATGCTCCACCCACAGACACTAACGTGTAGTGTCTTTGTGGAGGTGTGTTGCACCTTTTCATGTTTAAGCAACCTTGTCCCCACAATCCAACCCTTTGGTTTTGGTCATGAGTCATTTACTCCTGAATCCTTCACCTTTCACCCCTAGCTCCACTCTCCATGTCGCTCACTAGCTACCCTGGATAAGTAAATACATGATGTAATATGTGGTTTTCGCCTCCCACCCACCTCCACCCTCATCCAGTGGTGATTAAACTGGAGCACAGCAGTTTAAGGTGGGGATAGATGGGTGTGGTCCACAGGGTCCTGAAGAAGAGGAGGAGTTGGTAATAGATGAGGGCAAATGGAAGGGGATTTAACAAGACTGGTTTTGGGCAAATATGATGGAAAGGAGGGGCACGTGCAGGTCACCAACAAGGTGGGACTGAAAGCAGAGACATCACGGCCATGGTTGATCTGTCTGGACTGGGGCTCCTCCGTCCCTGCCAGCGGCTCCACCTTCCCCCGGCTGTCTGGGCTCCAGGTTCCAGGTGTGTGATTGGGGCTGTTGACTCCAGCACACGGCAGCCGCTGCCTGGCCCTGCTGCCCATAACGATCTCCTCCAGGGCTGCCAGACCCATTGTCATTCAGGCACCCCCCCCCCCAATTCACAAGTCTGATATCCCTCCGCACTGGAGCCTGGCTTGGGATGGGCTGCCTGACCGCTGTCACTGTGTTTGTTTGTGTGGGAGAATGTGAGCTTGTCAAGAATAATAAGCCTCTTTATGTGTTGGTATCTTAATTACATTGTGTTCTTCGGGGCAGAACATCTTAATAATCAAGTTTGCTGTTTGTTCTTGTGTCTATGCTGCTGTCTCTTCTGTTATCTGACTTGAAAAACAAATGAAAAAAGACTTAACTCAAAACCTAAGTAGGTAAGAAATACAAAACTTGCTATTTGCTTTCTTGCCAAGATTTAGATTTTGGAATTTCTTATCATAAAGACTGGAAACAGCCGGAAACAGCTGGTCAGGCTCTAACCAAAGTTTAATAAAGCACCTCTCATGCTCACTAATTAACATGGTGTATCTTGTTTGTGTAATCTATTAAAAAAAAAGAGTAAAACCAACAAGTCCTGACTGTTGTGTCCTCACTTGGGAACCTTCAGGTGAGGACACGACTCCAGGGAGTCACTGTGATCTTCTCATCTAACTCTATGTAAAAAAGAAAAACACACCACCAGACCACTGCTTCCTTAAAGGATGTGCTTTTGTCATGTCCAGTCAGAACAACAGGACATGCTGTATCTTTTCATAACGTGTACCAGTCTGTCTGCCTGGTTTGTGTCAGCAGACAGAAGTCTTTCACTTTAAGTAAAATCACTTGGTTTGAATGAGTCAGAGCACCTCAGGAATGCCATCTTTAGTCAACTAAACTTATCAGGAAAACTCTCTCAGTAACTGTACATGTAAGTTTTGATGTGCTCTCTTCAGCACGTCATAATAGACTAGCCCACACTCCTTTACATGCCAGCTGGGAGAAGAAAGAGTATGTGTCCAAACATTTTGGGAATTCCATTTTAAGAGACAAGATCAACGCAGAGGGCATGAAGGAGTTCAGAAAACAGGGCAGCGTGTAAATTACAAACTGTGTAAATTATTACTTGACGGTGACGTTGAACATTTTGCATTTTAAGGCGGCCGTTTGGGTATCAGTCACTTTCACCTCCATGGAAAAGTAAACTTGCTGGTAAAACAGACAGCCGTGGAGTGGAAAGTGCCAGGAAGATTAATGAGGTGTGTCTTTCCTCTCTTTCACACTATCCTTCTCTTTATCCCTCTGTTTGTCTGTGGGTCGATGTGTGTGGGGGTCCAGGTAGGGTGGCCCAATGGGGTAACATGCTGAAATAAACACGTAGAGGAGACAGCAGGGTGATGTTCCTCTCACTCAGCTTTATACAGATCAAACAGGGAGCTAGTGTTACCTTGTTTAGACAAACACCTTCTACAGCTCATTTTCTCCTCACATTTCTCCTGTAAGCCTCTTCAGTTTACACACTTACTACCTAACTTGTCTTCTTGCCAAATGTGAAAGAAATAGTCTGACTTTATGGGAACTACGCTTATTAGCTTTCTTGCC